GCTATCCTTCGGGCATCCTTTGTTTAGGTTGGTGTAATCGACACACATTCTCCACAAGACCTATTGGAGCAGGAGACTTTCCTTAGTCGGATTCTTCTTAACAAGGACAACATTTGCTACCCACGTTGGATAATTGACTTCGCGGACGAAGCCTATGCCGTTGAGTTTTTCAACTTCTGCCTTCATTGCCTCGTACCATTCAGTGTCATAAAATCTTCGCTTCTGTCTCACTGGCTTGGTCTTGGGGTCAATACTTAAGCGATAACAGATGATATCAGGATAAATGCTTGGCATGTCCTCGTATGACCAGGCGAAGACCTCAGTGTTCTCTTGCAAAAAGAGAGATCAATGTCAACCGAATAGATGGTGACAAGGTGGTGCCAATCTTCACCATGCAATCTGGATAATCTTTTGAGATAGAGACTTTCTCCAACTCTTCAGCGGGTTGTGTTTACTGGGTGAAAGAGTCATCTCGAGGATCGTCGGGTTGACTATTACCACCATGAAGATCCAAGTTGGCTTCGTCTGGGCTGGTCTTTATGACTTGGTCATGTATAGAAAAGTTTTCCTTGGGCATAGGCAGGTGATGTTGCCTGACCAAAGTGTTATAACATGATCGTGCACTAAGTTGATCTCTTTTGATGTAACCATTGCCATAGGGGGTTGGAAATTTCATCAACAACATATGTGTGTATACCATGCCCTTGAAATCATTGATGCATGTGCGTCCGAAGATGACATTGTATACCATTAGGCAATCAACCACCAAGAAGATAGTGGTAATGGTAGATTTGCAAGGGCCTGTACCAATGGTGAAAGGTAAGTGTATGCTCCTCAAAGGTTGCATGATATCACCAGAGAAACTTATCAGAGGAGAAATCGAGCGATCGAGCAAGTGTTCAGCTACATTAAGTTCCCTGAAAGCTTCAGCAAACATGATATTGACCGAAGCCCCCCGTGTCTACCAAGATTCGTCGTACTCTAAAGTTGGCTATGTGAGCTTCCACAATCAGTGGGTCGTTGTGAGGGTAGATGATACCTCTTTCTTCCTCAGGGTAGAAACATATTGGATCCCAGTTAGGCTTTTGATACTTGCCCCCCCTAATGTCTTCCACGTGAAACACTTGGTGCCCAGACCTTAAAGCTCGTTCACTATTTTTCATGGCCCTGTTGGAAGATTTAGATATGGGTGTGCCACCACTACCCAAAAGGAGTTGCACCACTTTAACAAGGATAAAGTGAAGCATTCGAGTACTTCTATGGTTATTCGATCACTAAATGCAAAACGAGATCCCTTCTGTCTGAAGGAAGATGATGAAAAGATTTTAGAGCCTGAAGTTCCTTATCTAAGTGCGATAGGCACTTTATTGTACTTAGCTCAATGCACTAGACCCGACATTTCATTTGCTGTTAATCTTTTGGCAAGATACAGTAATGCACTAACACACAGATATTGGACTAGTGTTAAAGACATCTTTTGCTAACTTAAGGGTACCACAGATCTGGGCTTGTTCTATCCTTATAGATTCTCGAGTGATGCCGCACCCCCTATCTCGAGTCAATTCTCGCCTTGTTAGTTATGCCGATGCATGATACTTATCTAATCCGCACAAGGCGCGCTCTCAAAAGGGTTATGTCTTTACCGTTGGAAGCACCGTAATCTTTTGGAGGCCAACTAAACAAACCATAGTTGCCACTTCGTCTAACCATGCTGAAATTCTCGCCTTACACGAAGCAACTCGGGAATACTTTTGGTTGAGAGCAGTTGTGAGCCATATTTGAAACTCATGCGATCTTTACCCCGTCGTTAACATCCCGACGACGATCTATGAAGACAACACACCATGCATCGAATAGCTCAAGAATGGTTACATCAAAGAAGACAACATCAAGCACATTGTGCTGAAGTTCTTCTTCTCACGTCAACAACAAAAGCATCAGAAGATTGAAATCACGTAAATCCGTTCACAAGACAATATGGCCGACCTTGTCACCAAATCACTACTGAATGCGACGTTTCAGAAGCTTGTTCAAGGAATTGGTATGCTTAAACTTTCTGAGTTATAACATTGTTAGTTCTCTTTGGAATTATGTCAAACTCATGAAAGGTATCCTGAAGTATACTTGCTTGATCTTAACGTACTCTTTTTCCCTACGATTATGAGCATTTTTTCCACTGGGTTTTTTCTATCTAATGAGGTTTTGATGAGGCACCCACCTTGTGTTGATCATATCCCTGATGATGTCTCGTAGACGTTTCATTTGACTTTGCGTTTCTCACTCATTTTTTTTTAGCCTATGGGTTTTGTCCCTACTCAGGTTTTTACCATAGCCATTAGGTTATTTGTGAGACTTACTTCCTAGTGCAAGTTCCTACCTTATCTGAGACTAGCGTGTTCCCAAAATCAGTGCTAACGAGTCGACTTCCTCACCCTACATGATGCCGAATCTGCTTAAGTATTTACATATTCAAGGGGGAGTGTTATAAACTTCTTATTTAAGTGTGCTTGTGAAAATCCTAAATTAGATTTGATTCTAGTTATTCTTCCTTATTAGGACTTGTATTCCTTGGAGGAGAAAGATTTCTTCCTTCCCTTATTACTATAAATAAAGACACTGCATGGGGGGGAAAACACATCCTCTACACAACCCAACAAACACATCTCTCTATATTCTCTCTATGTGCCGTCGGCCATCTCTCCATGTCAGTTAAATATAGACCACAACACTCTCATATATGTTTGTTAATTTTTTGCCATTAATTTTCTTCAATTCATTCGATCTAATGGCCGAAAATTGAAAAGGGTGTGTGAAAAGCAAAATGAGTGTATGGATAACACTACCCTATAGATACACTGATAAAGACTAAATTGCATGTCACTAGGTCAGTCAGGTCAACCGGTTTTGGAATTTTTGAGTTACCAAACAATCAACATCAAGCTTTGCCTGGTCAAGAAACAAAAATGTTACTCTTACTTTATTTTTCATACCACATTTGTGCTATCATTCTAATAGAGACATGATCTACATGTATTGGTGAGCCCTACCTTTATTAGAGATATTGTACATATGGTATGAAAAATGTAATAAGTGTAGCATTACTCATAAACAAAAAAGAAAATTTCTTTGGGAAATTTTATTTAAACTCATTTAACCTCTTTTTACACCCAACTTAAATTTTAAATATTAATTGTCTATTTTACCCTATTGCATAATTACTATTAAGTACAAAATGAAATTAATAATAAAACTCAAATTTATCAATAAACCCAAACACTATAATTAAACCCTACGATTACTCTTTGTTTATCCTACGTTTATTTTGGCTAAAACCCTAATAGCTCTCATAGAGAAAAATAAGTTTTTTTATTGATAAATGGTGATTTTGAAGTTTTGAATCCTCCAACCAAGGTATGACTCAATTTATGAATTTTTTGTTCGTTTGATTTCAATTTTTTAGAGAGTAGAAGTTATTTACTGTACTTTTTTTCAACAAATACAACAAAGGCATCCTACCTTCCGCTAAAACAACAACAAAAGCATCTAACGATGAATAATGTCCGGTGTGAAAGGACCCAATAACCTAAACTGGAAAAACAAAAAGACCAATCGCAGCATCCTTTTTCTTCTTCTTTTTGTTCGTAATTTGCTTTCTCAAATCAGTTGAACACAGTTTGAGGGTTGGCCACTTAAACCAAGCACTATAAGCCTTTGCACCTTTCTCTCTGGCACTCTGAACCATCCACTTCAGAGACTGGCTCTCGTAATCAAACATAGTAAAAAAAAATTTGTTCGTTTGGAAAGGGTATGATTTGGCCAACAATTTAAATGCAGAACCTCTACTCACAGTAAACACAAGACCATACTCATTCTCAGGAATGTTCAAATAATCCATAATCCTAGCCTTTATATCATGTTCCGATAGTGCCTTTCTCAGCATCGCCATAAAGCGCATGATTATTCAAATTTAGCTTCTATAAATCAAATGGGTGTAAAAATAAATCCACATATTGAATTGGGTTTATGAGGGTATATTAGGTATTAAATTTGGGTTTAAAGAGATATTAATAGTTTAGTTAAAAATCAAATTGGTGCAAAGAGTAAATTGAGTGTAGAAATAGGTTAGATGAGTTTAAATAAAATTTCCCAATTTCCTTCTCTAAACAAACTAGATATTTCTGTTTTGAACAAATGATACTTACACTAAATATTTTTTTAGTCGAGTGATAACGTTAGTAAGTTAGATATTGAATTAACCACCGACGGAGTTCGAACCCACGCCATCATGCAACACGACACCGTTCCACCAATATGGTAAAGAGTCACTTGCTTATCTACACTAAATATTGAATACAATGAAATTATAGAAAGAAAACTAAAAAGGAAAAAAAGACCAAGCAGAATAATCTTTTGCAAATAGAAATAAAAATTGGGAAGGATAAAGTTTACGCAAACTGAGGAACTAGTTGTGATGTGATTTATCGTAAGAGTAGAGTTAGACTTTTTAACTCAATTTGTTCAAGTTTAGATAAATTAGTTAGAGCAGTGTGTTCTTCTGTGTTTTTTTACATTGTAGTTTGAATGTTCTTTCCCATAAGTTTATATCGTGTATAATATATTTTTTATTAATTATATAAATAAAGAAATAAACTCAAATTTTATTATTAAAAAAATTAAAAAAGGAAAGTGCCAAAGTTTAATCTCACATGGTGATGCAAATGTTCATACCAAACATCCATGTGGTCCCATTTCACATGGGAATGCTCCCCCCCAACTCTTCCCTTACAATTAAAGGTCCAGATTGCATCCCCCAACGCACCTTGACCGTCCTTTCGAGTTCACAATTTTGCATAGGGTTGGCTGAGCTTGTCCAACTCTTGTCGCCCAAACGCCGAGGCAAAATGCCTCAAAGGTGCTGCTATTGCTACCGACAGCTTAGCTTTCCTTTGTCCGTAATTCATGCAAATGAGAGAGAGAGAGAGAGAGAGAGAATAACAAATTAAACAAATTTTAAGGCATACTGCACAACTCCCGCTCCTTCCTTCAATCATATCTATAAAGTACAACACACACCTTGTATTCCCACCTCCCCACAAATCATACACATTTCTCAAACCTCAGCCAAAAAAAAAAAAAAAAAAAAAAAGAGAGAAAAATTTGCCTTCAACCAGAAAGAAGAACTTGTTCTTTTGGGTTTTGCTAGAGCAGATTACCGGATTTTGTTTCTTGAGGTTCAAGAATTCGTATTTTTTTTTTCAGTCGAAGATTGTTGGGAAAAATGGAAGGCAAGGCACATGAGAATGATCTCAACCTCAAGGCAACAGAGCTGACACTAGGGTTGCCAGGGAGAGATGAAACTAGTGAGCTTCCTAATCAAACCAAGAAGAGATCACTGCCAGCTGATTTAAAAAATGAAGAAGGAAACCCTGATGCTAAAAATGCTCAAAAGGAAACTGCTCCTTCTGCAAAGTAAGTCATTTTATTGATTGATCTTGTTGAAATAAATTTATATTATAAGAAATATATAGTATGAGCTACATATTTGAGTTGTTGTACTCAAGGGCGGAGCTACCATGGGCCTAGAGGGGGCGGATGCCCCCACTGAGATTTTTCTGATGCTGGCATGCTCATCTGTTTCTGCAGCAGCAAAGCCCCCACTGCAATTTTCTGGTTCCTCCGATCTGGGTCTTTCTAAACCAGGCCAAAGGCAAAACGAACCTCTGCAGAAGCCTGATCTGATTTTTTTTTTTTAAATGTAAACGAAACGGCGTCGTTTCGTATATGTTTAAAAAAAAAAAAAGTTATGTTATAGTATTAGTGGGGGACCAGACTCCCATTTCTTTTTTTTTTTGTCTCCTAAAAAAGTTATGTTATAGTATTAGTGGGGGACCAGACTCCCATTTCTTTTTTTTTTACTCCCCTTTGTTTTCGTTGCCCTTTGTCAGAGAGCAGCTTGGTGCTGCTCTGTTTGTCTTCTCCAAAGTCCAAACCAATACCTTGAAAGTTGCTCTCCTGTCCAGGTGCTCTCTGGAGCAAAGTTGCTCTTCCCAGCACATGCCCAGCAGCCAGCCATTCTCTAGTCTCTAGCCGACAACATATATATATATATATATTTAGGTAAATTTTTTAATTCCTAAATCTATAATTTCTAACCCTAATTAATTATTTAAGACGAATTTTTGTTTAATTGGTATAGAAATATAGAATCATATGGATATGGTATGCACTAATATGGATGGTTATTGACTTATTGATTATTGATATGATGAATTCTATGATTATTGATGAATGAAATTATGAAATTACGAATTCTATAAATATGGGTATACATTTATTCAAATGATTAGTTGAATTAAATGTTTATTTGTTGAATAATTTGTATGCTTATTGGTATGAGTTTACAAGTGGGAAAGGCAAAAATCAAGAAACTACTTTGAAACGTGCTGGAGAAACACGTTGGGGTTCACACTTGGGTACTTTAGTAAGTATAATGACTATGTTTTCATCCATACTTGATGTACTTGAAGTAATAGCAGATGATGGAGTAAGCTCTCAACAAAGATGTGAAGCGAATAATTTATTGGATTCCATGCAATCATTTGATTTTGTGTTTAATCTACACTTGATGAAAGATATACTTGGAATAACCAATGAATTGTCACAAGCATTGCAAAGGAAGGATCAAGATATTGTAAATGCTATGAAGTTGGTTGGAGTTTGTAAGCAAAGGTTGGAGATAATGAGGAAAAATGGTTGGGATTCTTTACTCAATGAAGTCTCAGAATTTTGTCTTAAACATGATATTGATGTGCCTAATATGGATGATATGTTTCTTTCTCGAAGGCGAGGGCAACGAAAAGCAAAAGCAGTCACAAATATGCATCACTATTGTGTTGGGATATTTTATGTTGTTTTGGATTGGCAGCTTCAAGAACTAAATAATCGTTTCAATGAGACCAACACTGAGTTACTTCTTTGTTTGGCATGTTTATGTCCAGCCGACTCCTTCTCTGCTTTTGATAGCCAAAAGCTATTGCGTCTTGCCCAATTTTATCCTAAAGACTTCTCTATGAATGAGCTGGTGATACTTAAGATTCAACTTGAGACTTACATTGTGGATATGCGGTCTAGCATTGAGTTTTCAGGTTTAAAAGAGATTGGAGATCTTGCAAAAAAAATGGTTCAATGCAAGAAACACAAGGTGTATTCGCTGGTTTACTTGCTTGTGACATTAGCACTAACTCTTCCAGTTGCTACTGCAACCGTTGAAAGAGCATTTTCGGCCATGAAAATTCTGAAGAATCGATTGAGAAATCGGATGGGAGATCAATGGATGAATGATAACATGGTTATTTTTATAGAGAGAGAGATATTTGATGGTATTGGTAATGATGTTGTCATGCAACGCTTTCAGAACATGAAAACGCGTCGAGGGATATTGTAAGGACTGTTGTATGAAAAACTTTATGGATTAATATATAAGTATTGTGTTTAGTAAATTCTTAAGCTTTTTAATTATGACTTTGTTGTTTGAGGATGCCCCCATTCACACAAATCTCTGGCTTCGTCCCTGGTTGTACTCATAAGTTTTGATGTGTTGGTATGACAGGGCACAAATAGTGGGGTGGCCACCAATCAGATCTTATAGGAAGAACAGCCTCCAGGTAAATAAGAATACTGAGCCTGAAACTGCTGCTGGGATTTATGTGAAAGTAAGCATGGATGGAGCACCTTACCTCAGAAAGATTGACCTTAGGGTTTACAAATGCTACCCAGAACTCCTCAAGGCCTTAGAAGTCATGTTTAAGTTTACTATAGGCCAATACTCAGAGAGGGAAGGCTACAAGGGATCAGAATATGCACCTACTTATGAGGACAAAGATGGTGATTGGATGCTGGTTGGAGATGTTCCATGGGAGTAAGTTCTCTCTCTCTCTCTCTCTCTCACTATATATATCTCTCTGTGTATCGATATACGTACTCACAAGTCTTCTGTTGCTATTACAGTATGTTCATGTCATCCTGCAAGAAGTTGAGAATCATGAAAGGGTCAGAAGCCAGAGGCTTGGGGTGTGGTGTATGAAAAAGACAGGTCACCCATAAGAGCAAGGGAGAAGAAAAGATATATCATCTCTCTCTAGATCTCATGATATGTAGAGAAAATTAATCTCACAGCTTGGGTTATCGACAAACTAAAGATATTCAGATCTTATTGTCCTCAATTACTGACATGCCTTTTCTTGATTTGGTTGGGATTGTAGATAGAAGCAGAAGATAATCAACTGAAGTAAATACAGATTCATTCCACAAAGTTTGGGTAGCAAGATTTGTTTGCGGTATGAGTGCATCTTTGGTCGATGCTATATCGTGTTGTTTCTGATGATTCAGTCAAACCAAACTGCATACAGAGAGGGATTTTGGTTCCAAATAGGTTGTTCAAAAATGAACAAAATATGGCATGTTTCATGTTTTGGTTATGAATTATGTACTTTTGATATTTGGTATGGATATATAATAAAAAGCTACATTTTGAGTGTATATGTGGGTAGACCGCATGCAGATTTTGTACTCTTTTCTTGTAATACAAGTTGAAAAAGATTACTAGATATGTGCAATAGTTTTCGCTGTTCGATTCCATTCCACTCCTTAAACATGATCAAATTGACTACTGCGTACAGATTTTGCTGTTATAACAGATTTAAATGTTCAGGATAGCTAGGGTGCAGCAAAATCTTTGAAGGGCTATTGATGCATCCTATCCTATCTATTAATTATATTTTGATCACAAGCAACCATAAATTTCAGTCTACCAAGAACTTCCTGGACGTGATCAAGCAGAGTTAAGGCTGTATAGAACAAATTTTTTAATTTGTTCGCTAGATATTCCCGTAATATTGATCCATAAGACTTGGGATGCAAATCATTTATGAGAATGGAAAAGCAGTCAGCTCAATAAGAGTTTGAATAACCACAAATTGCTCTTTGTTTGGTCATCCAAAGATGCTGAAATTCAGATTTCATGTTTTTCTTGCACACCATAAAGAGCTTAGAGATCAATTGATTATAAACATTCACTCTTGTACCTAAGATTCTGAGTTCAATTCTCCCTCCAACTAATATAATGAAATTAAGAACAACTCGTCTTTCAACCCAGTATATGAGCAAGGCAAACTTACCAAGTCATATTGGGAGTAGTACCCCCAATATGCACATGGCTCATGATGTTGGAAGTGTGGAAAATGGATTACCTTTTCTCCTGGCCTTTTAAGATATGGCTGTCTACAAATCTAAACCCTAATTACCAAAACATGTCAGCAAAGTCGGTGATTGAGTAAATTCATTAAACTGTCTCTTTTTGTCTGGAAATCTTAACAGGAAAAGAAAATTATTTTGGAACTAGTAAATATTGTATTAACTATATGTGTATCAGTACTTGGTCATTAGCAGGGGATGCATCTGACTGCTATACATTCTTGGTTTATATTAGATGCAATTTAATAACAAAGTCACCTTTATTGAAGCATTACAACTTTAATTATATTTTAGATTTCGTATGTTTCAAAAAATTTAACCTTCCCTTTTTACTTTATTTTTATTCGAATCGTTGCACATTCCATGTTACCTTTTTCATAAAAACATGTTAATGCTGACTTTAGTTTATCTTAGTGTTAGTGTGAAATACTACAAAAATTAGATATGTCTGATATATGTCATATTCTCTTCAAAAATTAGATATGTCTGATAAATACTACAAGCCTACATAGATTAGGGGAGGAAATTTTTACCAAATTACCGTACCAACCATACCATATCAAATTATTACCAAAAATTTGTACCAATTGGTAATGGTGCGGTATTTGTACCGTACCATACTGTTTCAGTACAGTACTAGTATCCAAAACTAGTACCAGTGGTATACCGTATCTACCAATATTATTAATATTATATTATGTATTTATTCATATAATTATTTGAGGGAAAAATTAATAAAATTAATAATAATTATTGTAGAAGTGTAAAAAATGTAAAAAAAAAAATATACAATCACTCATTGTAACAAGCATTACAACTTTCATGAAGGGGTCAGTGTAACATCCCACATCGCCCAGGGAAGTGATCCTTAAATGTATATTCTCATCCCTACCTTGCACGAGGCCTTTTGGGAGCTCACTGGCTTCCGGTTCCGTAGGAACTCCGAAGTTAAGTGAGAAGGTGGCCAGAGCAATCCCATGATGGGTGACCTTCTGGGAAGTTGCTCGTGAGTTCCCAGAAACAAAACCGTAAGGGCGTGGTCGAGGCCCAAAGCGGACAATATCGTGCTACGGTAGTGGAACGGGCCCGGGATGTGGTGGACCCGGGCCGAGATGTGACAAATGGTATTAGAGCCAATCCCTGGGCGGAAGTGTACCAACGAGGACGTCGGGCCCCTAAGGGGAGTGGATTATAACATCCCACATCGCTCAAGGGAGTGATCCTTAAATGTATATTCTCATCCCTACCTAGCACGAGGCTTTTTAGGAGCTCACTGGCTTCCGGTTCCGTAGGAACTCCTAAGTTAAGCGAGAAGGTGGCCAGAGCAATCCCAGGATGGGTGACCTCCTGGGAAGTTGCTCATGAGTTCCTAGAAACAAAACCGTGAAGGCGTGGTTGGGGCCCAAAGCGGACAATATTGTGCTATGGTGGTGGAGAGGGACCGGGAAGTGATATATTCTCATCCTTACCTAGCAATAGGTTTTTTGGGAGCTCACTAGCTTCGGGTTCCGTAGGAACTCCGAAGTTAAGCGAGAAGGTGGCCAGAGCAATCCCAGGATGGGTGACCTCCTGAGAAGTTGCTCGTGAGTTCCCAGAAACAAAACCGTGAATGCGTGGTCGGGGCCTAAAGCAGACAATATCGTGCTATGGTGATGGAGAGGGCCTAGGAAGTGATCCGCCCCGGGCCGGGATGTGACAGTCAGCTTCAAAATCCAACACTATAATCCATAAACCTTAAATTTATATTTAACCGTTGATTGTCATTTACGCTTTATTCTTCTTACTGCATTTCTTTTTTTAAATTTTCTTTTTTGAAAACATGATCATCTGGCGGATGTAAGAAGATAAACAGTTTAGATATTTGATATCACGTTTCGATATTTACGATTAACTGAAATATGAGTCAATGTCATATAGTTTGTAGAAACTTTATAAACGTCAAGCAATATTTTCACTAACCGTAAAACTCTAAACATACTATCAACGATCCAAACCGTTTATCTTCCTACATCCTCTAATAGATCATGATTTCAAAAAAGAAAATCCAAAAAAAAAAAAAAACAAAATTTGATGAGAAAAATGAAGCGTAAATGTAAACAACAATCAACGGTTAAATTTTGATCTATGATTTATATGATTATAATGGTGAATTTCAAAGTTAAGCTCAAAGTTGTAAAGCTTGTTATTACGAACGTTTATATATTTTTTTTCTATATTTTTTACACTTCAACATTAATTAAAAAATATTAGATTTTGGGCAAACTAAGTGGCTTACAAAGTGGCAATTACCATTGGCATACCATATCAACCAAACTATTTGGTATTCCGATATTCGGTATACCGAAAGTTTGGTACGGTAATGGTAATATATTTTGCCGTACTAAATATTTGATATGGTAATTGGTACAGAAGTTTTGGTACGGTAATGTCCCAAAACCACCCCTAACACAGATTACTCATATTCTGAAACATTGTCATGCCCTTATCCTGAAATACATCCAGAACTCGTACATAACATATCAGTGGAAACGAAATTAAAATAAAGTAACCAACCCTACTGTCAAGTAAGATTTAAACCAATATTAGACTACGGAAATGATTTTCATACAACCTTGATCTACTTATGCACATATTTGATTATTTCCACCCCTTGATTCTCTTTTGCTCCCGATTATTCTTTTGGCGGCCTCCATCATCCTAGTAGTTGCCCAAATTCTTCTGCCTAATTTCCCTAATTACATATGTTGCAAATTCAAGTTATATCCACAAGCAAAGATAAGAGATTAATACGGCAGAATAGTTTAAAAAGAAACTGTGGTTCAAACTTGTAAGAGAACTTTCTAACACAATATTATTACAAGCATATAGTTTTCGTTAACCCACAAAAATCCAGTAACAAAGATGATACAAATAAATAGTAAGTGTAGCACTAAAATCGAACGGATTTCACATCGAACACGCATCTCATAGAAAAGTGGAACTCTTTGGATAATCATGTAGTCTTGTATTAATCGGAGATTTATCATTTTCTAGTCTTCTAACTCTTGTAAATCACTTCATCATTTGTGTAATTATCTCATGATGTGAACCAAACCCTGAGAAATATATACCAGATACTAGGCCGTGGCCCTAAAACGGTTTTAGGGTGAGATTATTGCTCAACCAATATAGTATTTTCGTTTTTGCTCAACCAATCCAATGGGAATTTTCTCAAAAAAAAAAAAAAAAAAAAGGATCATTTTTCAGGACGAAACTTTCAAGAAAGAAGAAGGCAAAATTCCAGTCGGTGAGATTATTGCTTTCTTCATGCATGGACTGCTGTTAAGGGAGGGATTTCGATTTTTTTGCAAGCATATTATTGGCTCCTATATTGCTATACGTAGAGAATTAGAGTCAGTAACTTGAGCGATCGATGAAAAGGTCGAAGAGATTAGGCTAACATGGAGGTAGGTAGCTTATCTTATATTAGTTTGTTTCATGCTTTTTCTGTGACTTTTCATCTTACTGTGCTACATTTTAATTTGCGTACCATAATTGTGGCTTTCTTTTCATTTGATTAATTCAGAAGTGGTTTCGTTGGGTGAGGTTGGTTTTCCCTATCATGAATTTTTGTTTATCAACGGCGAGAGGGGATTAATTCAAAAGAAAACTAATGAAAATGGCTTGAAAACTTTGAGTTTTAATGATAAGGACAAAATAAAGGGTAAAATGAATAGTATCAGGTTTGACTTTTTAGTATAAAAATATGGTTTTTCTTTAAAGTGAACAGTACCGCGGGCTTTTCATTAAAACTCTCTTAATTCAAACTTGGGACTACTACTGAATTTTATGACTTGTTTAGAAATGTTTTTAAAATTACTGGAAGCGTTTTTTATGAAATTAGTTTTGGCACTTAAAGTGTTTTTTTAGGATCCACTTGGATTTTTACCAATGATTGATTTCAAAAACAAATTCACGAAAAACGGTTTCATGTCGTTTTAAAAACACTTCCAAACAAATGTAAGTCATTGTGGATCTAGAATGCGTATATTATATTAATAATATTTGACCTTTGGATTTCAATATATGTCAACAGCTTCAAGAATGTTATGAACCTCATGGTCAAGGCAAAGACTTCTTCCTCAAACAATTTGACAACTGGAGGCACTATATAAGTACTCCATTTTTGCTTGTAATTTTATGTTCCATTTGTTTCTGCACATTTCGTGCTCATAATGTGACATTATTCTATCTTTTCTTGCGTATTGGCTATAAAATTTCAATTTTAGATTGTATTGCTTTAGCATATGTATGTTTTAATTTGGTATGGATACGTTTAATTAGACATGAGTACAATAAAAATAAAAAAAATAATTGCAGTGCCTAACGTATCCATATCAAATTAAAACATACATATGCTAAAACCAATTATCCTCTTCAATAAAAACAATTTTTTTCTCCGTCTAGCATCAATATCATTTGCTAAAATTTCTATTCATTGACCTATAATATTGATCGACACAATCCTAACACTAAGAATAATTTGTGACCAAATAAATTACCTCATTAAAGAAAAGCGTTGCGCACATGTAAAGATGTTCTTCCTTTTTTTTTTGTTAGCTACCCCACTTTTTTTGTTTGCTACCCCACTCGTAAAGGTGGGTGCCCCTATTAACCCGAGGGGCTTAGGTAAAGATGTTATTCTTGAATCAAGCGGATAGCGCATGATTCAAAACAGGCTTTTTGTGTGTGTAGGGAGTCTAGTTCATAAAATACATGGTTTGCCGTAGTTTCAACTCTCCAGTCGCCACCCAAACAAGTATTTTACTCGGGCAACATGTTAGTAGAACTCCTCCCAGTAATCGCTTCTCAAGGGCATTTTACGACGTTGGAACAATTTATGGACTTGTGTTCCAAATCTAGACTACAACGATAAAGATTTTCATTTTTACTCGATTATCGTTGCTATAATAGACGAATTGCGAAGATTTAAATTAAATTGTCCCAAGCAAAAATAAACTTGGAATGTGTATTTGCTCAACAAGGTTCGAATCGCGGCAGTGGAACATACTGTTATCGAACTACTGAACCTGTGTATAGTTTCCAGAGCTTGACAATTCTGCTTTCTGTTCGCTGTCAACTAAATAACCCAGAAGCTTCATATCTTCCCTAAGCAAATCCAGTACAAGGTATATCCTTTCTGAATCAAAATGTGACATATCTCCCATAACAAACTCATGGATTTCACATCCCAACTCAATCCAGCTCGACCCTCTATTTTTTCTAACCCCATGCTCTCTAATCAACGCTCTTACTTTCGCCACGCCATCCCACATTCCTGCAGCAGCATAGGTATTGGATAACAGAATATAATTGCCAGAATTGTCTGGCTCAATCTTGAATAATTCGGCTGCGGCAACTTCAGCCAGTTGGACATTGCGATGGACCCTGCACGCTGCAAGTAAAGCGCCCCATACAGCTGAAGGAGCTGCAAACGGCATCTTACATATAAGCTTGTACGCTTCTCTGAGGCATCCGCCACGACCAAGAAGGTCAACAACACATGCATAGTGTTTTACAGAAGGATGAATTCCATGTTCAAATGTCATTTGTTTAAAGTACCTCCTGCCCTCGGTGACTAAACCAGCATGGTTACAAGCACTCAGAACGCTAAGAAAACATATGCCATCAGGTTTTATGCCTTCCCTCTTCATCTCCTCAAACAAAGAAATGGCATCTTGACCCAATCCATGGTTGGCAAAGGCTGAAATCATGGTGCTATAACAAAGCAAATCCTTTTTTCGGGCCATTTCAAATATTTGTACAGCCCTTTCAATGCTCCCACATTTTGCGTACATGTCTATCAAACTAGTGACCACTTGCAGATTAGACAGAGTTGATTGTCCCAAAAAATCACCCACAATGGATTCTGCTGTACCAAGAACTCCTAATTGTGAGCAAGCCGAGATGATTCCCAAGACAAAAGTCTCATCTGGTCCAACTCCTAGCTCCTTGAAGTGTTTGTACATCTCCAAAGCTCTGCGAGGCTCCCCATTTCGAGCATAACCCCCAATTATGGTAGACCATGAAACCAAATTCTTCTCTGGCATCTGATCAAATAAGCTCCTTGCACTAGTAATATTGCCAGATTTTATATAGCCATCCATCATTATAGTCCACGAAGCAACATTCTTATTTGGCATAATATTGAAGAAGTCTTCTGCAAGTTTGATATCCCCTGCTTTACATAACCCCGAAATCATCAGATTCCAAGTCCCAACCTCACGGATTGGCATTGCTTCAAATAAAGAGAGAGCATTACCAATTTCACCGGCATCGGTGTACCCAGAAATCATCACATTCCATGACACCAAGTCTTTGGTTGGCATTTTCTCAAAAAGAAACCTTGCCTCCGCCATGTCCCCAGACTTCACACATCCACATATCATGCTTGTCCATGAAACTGTATTCCTCTCAGGCATCCAATCAAAAAGCTCCCTCGCAACATCAACTCTACCATTACCTACATAGCCTGAAATCATCGAATTCCAAGAAACCACATCTTTTTCATCCATCTGGTCAAATACACCCCTAGCGACATCAACTTTGCCACATCTCATAAACAAGTCAATTACCGCATTTTGAATGGTCAAGTCAGAACCGAATCCAAATTTGAAGACAAACCCATAAATTGCTTCCCCATCTTGAACTCTACTCTGCCTAGCTAAAGCCTTAAGCACGGATGCAAAAGTAAAATTCAATGGCTCAACGGACTCACCATGCATTTGGGAAAACAGAGACAAAGCAACTTCATATCTACGATTCTCGACATGCCCATGAATCAAGGCAGTCCAAAGAAAGGAATTTGGTTGAGTAATTTCATCGAACAGCTTGCGGGCATAGTCGATGGCTCCAAAGCGAGAGTACAACCTGAGGAGCTTGTTGAGGATATGGTGGGACGAGAGGAACGAACCGGTGACTAGGAGATGGGCATGGATGGATTTCAGTGGTCTGAGAGTTTGGCATTTGTGCACAAGTTTCAGCAGCGAGTGATTCATTTCATGGCGCCAAATGGGAGGAAGAAATTCCTACTTGTAACGGTCACATAAAGTATTTAAAATTAAAGGCCGGCTGGGAAAATGAATAATGGGCCTTGTGCATTGGGCCCACTGGATTGATGGATCTCTCACTACTTGTACAAGGTGCTGCAATTGTTACGAACTTATGGTCACAAAAATTATTCAATTAAATAACTGAGCGTTGGTTTTTTTACAAGACGATAATCTAAATTACTCTAACCCAAAATTGCACTCAAGTGGCGTCTAGTTCAGGAAAAGATAGTTAATTAACCTCTTCTTAAGTTTTTTCTTACTTTTACCCATATGAATTTAGTCATTTTGGAAGTGGTTTATTTGTTCTCTAATTGGAGAACAAAATTAATTACCTATATATAACAACACTCCGTAGCAACAGAGTTCAAATGATAGAAAGGAGGACCCAGTAGGAGGAACAAAATGCAAGACCGTGAGTAGCATGTGTGAATGCTCTTAACCACTTGAGCTACAATGCCATTGGAGTTCAAACAATCGATATTGAAAACCGTAAAGGAGTAGATAATGGGATTCAAAACAACTTATAATTCTTAAAAACAACCTTGACCTCAAAGTCGCCAATCCTCCACCAAACGGGCATAAGCCAACAAAGAATCAGCTGTAACTCTATGTAAGCCTCTCACCTGTGTTTGTATTTAGAATACATGTAAAACTAAGGTATCTCACTATATTCGGTCCTCTGACATAAGTTCCATGAGCGAAAATGTCCAGCTCCTTCCCCTTCTCCAAGAATATCTGAATTCCTATTCATACCGAAGCCGATGACCCCCAGTTTCAAAAACAGACTTTTGAGACCTACCGGAAAGAAAATGAAAATGTACATATGTTATGCTACAATACGCCGAGTTACATGAGCCTAGCAAGTGACCACATGCCAGTGTTGGGGTATCAGGGGCAGTAGAACCAGCAAGGCAGATCTTCAACATAACTTCATTGTCCATGTTTCCACCCGTGAGCTCCATGTGATTATTACGAGGCTAAAAACAAGTTCAATCGAATAAAACAGCGCTGTCATGATTTTTGAGGTGTGTTCCTCCCTGGTCTTCCGTCACTTGATTCCGGAGATTTCTCATGGTAATTCTTGTTCTCTGATGATGAATAATCAGAAGTTTGGCTTCCGACAATCATCACAGACTGGCTCTCAGCAACGTTCGATTGTCTTTGGTTTCTGGACTTCTCAGGAGCTTTGTGGCTTGAGGACACATATGATATACCAAATTTCTGCCCATGAGTTAGTCCTTGGCAAACCCCCTGCACAGAGAAATTTTCAGTCTGACTTCAAAGTGATACTATTACAACACATAAATTTTACGACCCAAACAAAAAAACTTAATTATGTATTTTCTGTAGTTTTTAGTTTCCAATTAGAAACATTTAACTTTGCTATAATTCCAAAAAATACCCCAGTTCTTCATCCCACTAAATTTAACAAAAACAAGGCTTCATTTTATAAGAGCCACAAGCACATTAAAAAAGAAAAGACTGCAGAGCGAGCACGAACTAAAATCCAGTAGGACATGCATAATAGATTCAAGAAGAGAAACGCCTGGTATGCAATTCTCACTTTTATCAATCCTGATATAGAGGTAGAATCCGACAAAGACGAGTCTGAAGGAATTCCAGTGCGGACCCTTCCATATAAGCTACCATCATAAGTTTCTTGAGAATTACTTGGAACATCGGAAGCTTGAGATTCATTTCTAATGTTGCCAGTGTTACAATAAGCCCCAAAATATGAACAATGTTCCTGCACAAGAGCTATTTCAGGGGTTGCAGGCAATAAGTGGCCTTCGGTACTAAATATGTACCTGCAAATGCAAACATTTTCACCAAACAAGGCAAATATGAGACATTTTCACCAGATATGGAAAATATAGATATCTTAGCTCTTTTATTGAGATAAGTTCCCGCACTGAAGCATCATGAAAGGAATGTGCAGAACTTACTTGTATGGCCCATTTTCAACAAGGTTATCTGGTCCCACAGCTAAATCAAAAAGAAGCCACAGGTATTTAACCTAATTATACTACAGGTTGTTAATATTGTGTAATAGAAGATGAAAAAGAAAACAAAATAAAGATAAATGATTGTAAAAATCGAACACGATACAGTGATGCTAGTAGCAGCAGGATAAAGAGTAACCAAGACTCTCAACTCCCAATTAACCCACTACCATCAGACGGATATTTGTCAATAATAATCTTACTCTACTGGGAGACTACATGAAGAAAAAAAGAAAAAGAAAAAACATTCGACTTCAAAGTTCTTACCGTTTCTGCCAGGAAAAAGCTCTCCATGTGATCTTCCTGCTTGTGGAACTCAACATCTGATATATGACAAAATCCACAGGGGCATCGTGCACTGTGCTGCAAGCTGGCAATCATGTCTCGTCCAGCATCAAGATACCTACAAAAAAATACAAAAGATGACTAAAGCCTATACTGAAGTGTCATTTTCTTTAAACTAACGTAAATGTCCTTTTTTACATATTCCCTTTATAACAAAACCTGAAAAAGGGTCCCAAAATTAGAAGTATTTCTGAACTTACTTTGGATCTCTAGTTGCCTTATAGAGCCAATATGTGCTCTCCATTAATTCTGGACGCAGTGGATAACTTCTTTGTCCATGCTAAAAACAAATGTAGACTTAAATATTACAAACGGAGTTGATATAGTAAAGTGAAGGGTAAATTACACAAAACTACCTCAACTATAGGTCGAACGACACTATCATACCTCATCTTTTAAAAATGACAATGTCATACCTCATCTTACGAATTTGTTCTAATGTCAAACCTTCGTCAGTTTTTCTGTTAATTTCTCTGTTAAATGCTGACGTGGCTAGAGATGGAGCCCACTCACTAATCCAATTAAAGGTCGTACCCAGTGCACAAGGCTCCCGCTTTACGCAGGGTCTGGGAGAGGTGAATGTCGGCTAGCCTTACCCCCATTTATGGAGAGGCTGCTCCCAAGGCTCGAACCCGAGACCTACCGCTCATGGGCGAAGGCACTTGTCATCGCACCAAGTGCGACCTCTTCACTAATCCAACTAGATTAAAAAAAAATTAAATATATTTTTAATAATTAAATATTAAAAAATTAAAAAAAAATTATATATAAAATTGTGGGATCCACCTCTACAAACCCTTCCCCACCCGTCCCCCCAACCTTCCTCCACCCGTCTCCCCCATTCCTTTCTTCTCCGATGAAACCACCAACCCAGTCCTTGTCTCCAGCTACCCCCCCTCAACCTCTCTTCTCCGACAAAACCACCAACCCAGTCCTCGTCTCCGGCTACCCCCACCTCAACCTCTCTTCTCCGACAAAACCCAACATCGCTTGTACAGACCTCGTCATACCATCTTCCAATATATCAATCTCCTCGTCATCCCACCCCTCCTCCCTTTGACAAATCTGAAGCCGTCGTTGGGCTTCCCGAAATGCGAGGCCATTCCCTGTGACCAACTCGAAGTCACCTTCCAGGCCGTCAAGCTCTAGATCGCCAACCTAGAAGTTTTTCCGATCGAAAACTCCTTTGATGGGGACGCAGAGCTCCGCAATTTGACGAACCTCGAGGAATGGCTGGGGTTCCACGGCTCCGTTTTGGAGGGAGGGAAGGTGAAAAAATTAAGAAAATGGCCCTCCTCCTAGTGCACATGGAAGGTTTGTCCATGATGGTTTCTCTGGCATGCAAAGCCCTGCCACTAGTTCAAAGTATCCAAAAAGTTGTCCAATTTCAAATTTCGAATTTCTATGAAATTTTAGAACTTTTTGGCTTTTGGGTTCTGTTTTTGGTGTTGATTTGTTACTAAATTTATTGGTTTTTTAATGCGGATTTGTAATTGAATTTATTCGTTTTGGGGGCAGATCTGGGTTTGCATGTAATGTGCTCTGAAATTTTGATGAATTTTGCAATTTTTTAAAGTCTTGAATGTTACATGGTGTTGTTTCATGTTTTAGGTGAAGGAAATTTGATTGTGTTTAAGGAGGAGGAAGAAGGGGGACGGAGGAGGGAGCGAGGGAAGACGAAGGAGATGACCAGCGTTCTAGAGAGAAGGAGGAGAGATTTGTTCGATCCCATTTCCCCTTTGAAATCCCATTTCCATTTTTATTTCCCAGATTTGTCAGACAGAGGAGGGAGTGAGGGAAGACGAAGGAGATGACCGGCGTTCTAGGTTCTGTTTTTGGTGGGGTAGCCGGAGACAAGGATTGGGTTGGTGGTTTCATCGAAGAAGAAAGGAATGGGGGAGACGGGTGGAGGAAGGTTGGGGGGACGGGTGGGGAAGGGTTTGTAGAGGTGGATCCCACAATTTTATATAAAAACATAATTTCATTTTTAATTTTTTAATATTTAATTATTTTTTAATCCAGTTGGATTAGCGAGTGGGCCCCATCTCTAGCCATGTTAGCATTTAACAGAGAAAATAACAGAAAAACTGATGGAGATCTGACATTGGAACAAATTCGTAAGATGAGGTATGACATTGTCATTTTTAAAAGATGAGGTATGAAAGTGTCGTTCGACCCATAGTTGAGGTAGTTTTGTGTAATTTACCCTAAAGTGAAATTTAAAATCCATACCATAGAGAGAATAATTCCAAGAAAGTCAAAACAATAAAAATATGAAACAAAAAACCGAGAGAGTGAGAAAGGACGGATGTGCTACCAGAGAAGCTAAGTTTAATTAATTTGTTAATAGGGACACTGGTCTAGAAATATTCATGGACTGCCTACTATTCGGGAATTCATATAACAGCTCCATATACCAGAGGCTTAACCAGGCCAAAAGTTCACACCTCAAACTACAACCTGTCTGACCATCTAATATTGCCTGTGGGATAAGAAGAGCACTACGGAAATTTTTACCTAACCATTCACAAATCAAAGCTAGAACACAAGTGCTGATAACCTTACGAAATTTTTTATCTAACATACCCCAAAATACAGCTATGTAGTTTTCACTTATGAAAATTGGTTTTTAATTAGATGCATCAAATCATTCATAAAGACACAAGCAAGCTCCTATTCACAGTACTAATAGTAAAATAAGAATGATAAAATTGGTATTAGGATAGGGGCAAAAAAAACATTATTATGGTACCTGCACACTGAGCGTAGCAAGATTAAAGCCCTCTGGAGTAAAACCATATCTTTTCCACACACTAAAGAAGGCAGCATGTGTTCGAATGGCAGGATCAATATCTCCAGCTAAAACCTTCCAAAATATAAGGTAATCAGTCTCAATGAAACCTAATGGGCAATTTTGAATTATCCAGTCTCCACTGTAGAAATGTTAATCTTTAACATGTTACAAACCTGAAGTCCGGGCCAGAATGCTTGCAAACTGTTAAATAATGGCCAGACAACAGCAGCAGAATCCATATTTACCTCTACATACCTACAAGCGTAAGTAAAATTGGCGTGCTATTAGTTAAGGAGAATAAAAACCTATAGAGAAATTAAAATAGTTACAGCATTTACCAAGGATCATTGTAAAGATGGTGCATAGCAGCGGCATAAGCTTCTTGAAATATGAAAAGATACTCTTCATCTCCAAACAATAAATAAGCCTGTAATGGTAAACAATGATAGTAGGGGGGGAAAAAAAACATGAATACACAAAAACCATGTAAACCCAATATAAAATAAAAACATACGAGTCTACAAAGGCTTAACCACCAAATCAAGGCTTAGAAAAAACTAGGAAGGGGGACTATGGTTTTCCTGCTAAAATAACTATAAAAAACAAGGACTCCTCAACATCACTTATTGTAAAGGTCCTGAGGGGCTAAACCAAACTACTGAAAATGACAAGTCAAAGCTCCCTGTAATCAAACCACAAAACTAATTTACATTAACAAGAATGCATTGTCTTCCAACAATCACAGTGATTACTTTGTCTGATGTCTCCCTCTTAACCCCAAAAAATACCAAAACTAGCACTGCAGCTTTTTAGTCCTAGTTACCTTATCTTTCCAATTTAACTTCCAGGAGCTTTTGTAATCAGTGCTGACATAAGGATATCAAGTATCGGACCTAGTGACTGAAAACGTGCTAATGCCCATTTCAAAAATATAATTGTAATAGCTACAGAAAAGTTTCACCTTTCCAAGTGATGTTACACACCTTTAGAAGATACTCATAGAAAGAGTCAATACTAGTTCCTATTCCAGCATCCTGCATAGAAACAGAGAAACGTAAGTATAGGTAATGCTCACGAAGAACATAGCAGAGAAGAGTGCTTGATGCCGGCACAGAAATCTAAAGAAAAAAGAAAATACCAACACATCATAAAAAAGTGACAAAAAAGAATAAACTACTAACTACCCTATAAATACATCTAATTCAGGCCTTTCGAAGGTCGGACTAGACATTCAGATAGGATAAGAACCCCAGTTATGCATTTGGGACACAATTTAGGCAATTTAATGGGACAGTGGGATCCTTGCAGGTTCACAATCCCAAGTTAGCAGGATGACCAATCCCACTTAGTAATAATGGATATCCCAAAAGCATTGGCTTAGCATGTTTAGTCTAGTACAATCATATCAGGTCCCCAAAAGATGGCCTAAGGGTCTGTCAAACTAACAACATAGAAATCAATAATGTGGTAGTAGAGATCCTGCGAGGGTGAGTTAACTCTAAATCCGTCAACTGCAAGTTGTTCAAGAACAGTGGCTTGAGTTTCTCGACTTTTCCTTAGGATTAGTCAGTTCTATTTCTCTATAACCAATTGGAGAAGGTTGATCAGTATCATTAATATAAAATCGAAACAAGGATATACAACGTTGTTTAAAATAGTAAGGTGAGGCCTACCCCTAATGTATATGCCAACTTCTATTTCTTAAAGTAGAGTTATTCACAACATAAATGCCCCAGTTTCAAGCCGGAGTAAAATTAACCACTATTATTATTGCGGTGGCTTTTCAAACTCCAGATAAATTAACTTAAGTTTTATATCTGATTTTCCCATAGAGTATGATGATTAAGAACCCTTTATCTTGATACTACATCTACTGACTCAAAGTTGCATGTTTTGCAAAGTAATAATGTTAAAAAGAATGTTACCTTCTGTGTCCATTCACCTGTAAAAACATTAACGTGAGCACCAACTAAATTGAGCCTTGAACGGCGAGCCCAAAGTCCACGCACTGCATTCTTGGTAACTTGTTCAAAAACTGCAATCCCCATAAGATGGAAAAAAGTAAACTCTCCCTTCGTTGAGAAAGAAATCCAAAAACAGACAAAATGGAACCGACCAGTCAGAGATGAAATATAAGGGAATGTAAGATGGTAAAGAACACCGTACTTCAAATATTGGCTCTAAAGATGAATTATATGAAAGAAAGGTCACAGTTGCAACTTCAACACCAAAAAAGATTGCAAGTAAAAGTGAGCAAAATGCATTTTGGTCTACAGGCGAAACCCAAGAGCATGCTTCTTAGAAGCCAGGGTTCAGAGGTAGCTAATACTTACTGGGATCTTTTGTCAAACGGCTGAGCACTCCAAATTCCAAAGTCAAGGTCCCACCACCAGCTGTCGATGTTATCTACACAAACTAAAACTGAAATTTAAAAACGTTTGCCCAAACTAACAAATAAATACTAGTCTTGATGATGGTTTATAAACAAAATTAATTGAGTTTGGTTAACAATTTAGACCTTCACTTAAACTTCAGCATGAGCATGGCAAACTTACTTATCCAGAAAAATAAAATGGCGGATCTACTCTTTAGTTGTTGTAAAAAGTGTAACAGACACAGGAAAGAGTAAAGAAAATCGGACATAAAAGAGAAAATGTTGAGAGGCTTTGCCTTGCTTTCATGTTCATCAACTCCATGCATTAGATTGACAGATCCAAAAGGAATTCCTGCAATACAAGACCATTTAATAAGGATATTTAAAATACCAGTACTATTCATACACTTCTGCAACTGGAAACAAAAAGTTTGACATTGAAGGTCCGGTAGACAATTCAACCTTTAAATAATGCATTTATAATTCAGTTAGCTACAGCATGCTTTCAATCAAGTTAGTTACAATCATCCCATATGGCTTGTTATGCCCTTTTAAGCCTTCTTGTCCATACCAAAATCAATTGGTGTTTTTTAAACATATGGCTTGTCATTCCATATGATCTTATCTATTACTATTTTTACCAGAAAAATAAAAGACACTCATAATTGTATTCCCTTCAGGATCTTTACAAAAGAAATGTCAGCATTTTCCTAAATTCATATATTTTGAGCAAACCTCTAAAACATTGGGAATGACAAAGACTGCAAAACAATGAAGGTTCAGACAAAAGAATCTTGCAGAGTTTTGTGTGTACTACATGAAAAGAATAATCCAGTAAGTATACCTGAAGGAGTATCAAATGCAGGTAACAATCTCCGGGCAAGATCCTCAGCTAAGGTAAGTAATTGATTGTCATAGGTTGGAATTTTCATGCCCTGAAATGGACGGATGTAGAAATAATTCAATAATGATCTTCAAATATATATATTCTATGACATTGCACTCCGACCGATTATAAATGAAAATAGACAACCAAATTTCTCCCCAGTAAACTTCGATAGAAAAATCAGATAAGTGATATTGCTATATGTATCTTACAAACTAAAACATCTCCTTTCTTGAAATATCAGACAAGTGATATTGCTATACGTATCTTACAAACTAAAACATCTCCTTTCTTCAATTTTATCCTTCTAATATTTATATGTTTTCTTTCTTTCTCCTAGAAAGTAGAAACATAGTTAAGCCAGAGTCAAAATTGAGCTCATAGCAGACATTCATTATATCAGCACTAAAAGAAATTAAAAAACTAATCTTACAGTGGTGCCATTAATGCTGAGTAGGCAGTAGGGCATTTACTTAGTATCATAGATAATCAAGAGAGTTAAGGTTGGTCCCAGGAAAGTTTTATTTTTAATATTATATCAATGAACCTAGAATTTCACATCCCTTCTGGCCGGTAAATTTTCTTGCTAACTACTAATTGTTGGTTCTTCTTGAAATAGCGAACAAAAGAGAAACAAAACAGCCACAAACCAATTCTCTCATAACTCATTAGCATTACTCAGACCAGGTGACTGCCAGTTCTATAACCCCTACCTATGTTTATAACTTTGTATAATAATGTGTGTTCGTAATTACTTAAAAAGAAGGGCACTGTACACTGTTCACTGATGGCATATAAAAGGTGATTTATGGATGTGATAAAAAGGTGAAAGATTGAAACATAGAGGTACACAATTAATTATTACCGTGGAATAATCACTTGCTATAAGATGTGCAGAGAGTAAACCCCCAAGGACGCGGATGGTTGTCTCAAAAACAGATACTGTCTTATTCTGCATCAGTACAAAGATCCCTAGTTAGATTGACAATGTCGTCTACCATCTAGAATTATTTAATTTACAACCAATGCAATAGTAAAAGTACACATAAATTTATGATAACAGTTACATAAGAGTCATAAGGAAACAAAATTTCAAAATTAGGCAAGACCAACATATAAAAAGGAGAATTTAAATAAAAATCAAAAGAGCAATACATCAGATTAGAATGAGAACAGTCTGCCACTGTATCTCATGAGTCATGATATGTTATTAAACACATACCATGTCAACAACTGCCACATTTCAAATCATGTAAAACAGCCTTATGCGGTGTTAATTAAAGTTAGGGATAACCTTTGATTTGAACCAGACAACCCATCAACCTAAAAGCCCTGTTGTCAAGTGAGCTAACTAATTATTCCACAAAAGTAAACACTTGAAGAATCTAACCAATTATTCCAAAAGAAAGAAAAGCAGTTCAATGCGAACCCCTATCTATGAGCATCACTTGTGTATCCTGAGTTCAGATTACCAATTAAGAGGGAAAAAAGGAAAGAAAAAATCTACTCACTATATCAAACCGTAGTGTTTTACCAATCCATTCAACAGAGGCGGCAAAGTGTTCTCGATCACCAAGTAAAGCTAGTGTGTCTAAGGAATCAATCTGCGACAATGGTTCGGCAGAAGCATCACATTAGAGCTTAGCAAAAAAAAGGTGTCTTAAACAATAAAGTATATGTAGTAGAGAAATTGGAAAATGAGAATTTTTTATTTGGATTACCAAAGTTAGGGCATAACCACCAAGTGAATCTTCACCTGCACAAGAATGAGGCCTTAACTCATCCAAAGGAAAAGCATGCTCCATATATCCATTGAATGCATGATAAAACATTTCCCTGACCTACAATTGAAAATATATATTTCCAAATTTTTAGAACGCCACATTGTAAGTTGCAACAAATGACAAGCTAGCCCACCAACTATTAGTGTTCTTTAGAAAATTTCACATGGACCACAAAAATATATAACAGAAAGAATCACAATTTATTACTTTGATACAGCATAATAAAAATACAAGAATAACATCCTACATTCTTAACATGTAGATTCTCAAAGGGAGAATCCGAAGAAAAAAGGTTTCTAGTGTCTTTTTTATTCACATACAAATGCAATGCAAGACTGAATCGAGAAAGTTATTAAAAATGTGTAAAATTGAAGCAAACTGATTACAAAGTGGATATTCATAAGGCTAATAAAAAAGAAAAATGCTTAGCTACTCAAGGATGAGTAGGAACTCCTACTGAAAACTCTGTGTTTGAATCACAAAGCTTTCTGCTTATGATCAGAACCATTCATATTGTGAATCATACTGTAAAGACCTAAGTTTTAATTTACTTTTTGCAAAGGCGATCTTTATAGAGTGATTTATAATATGAACAGTTCTAATCATAAATACAAAGTTCTATGAATCGACAATGAACAATTTTGAGTAGGAACTCCCGCTCATTCTTTGAGTAGCCAAGTATTATACAATAGAAAATGTAAGAAATAATAACAATAATTAGTTCACCAAAACCAAAAAAAAATTATAAAAAAAATGAGAAGTCCTGATTATGATTCAGGATCCAGAAAATACACTAACAAGCAATCATGGGTGACCTTCCAAACTCAAAATCCAAACTTTTACAAATAGTAATTAAAAATCGAAACTTTCAGCAACTGGCTAGGTGAACTACATTATACTTGGATTAAATCATTATACACTCAAATCAATTAACTCAAAAATTGCAAACACCACCAATCCTTTGCAAATTAAACTCTGGATTGTTCCGAAAATCGGGTTTTTACAACCAAACGGTCCCATAACCGCTTCAATCTCCCTAAACCCTAATGACGAGAAATGGATGGTGAATTGAGGATTTACCTCGTCCCGGAGTTGCTTGGCTTCGGCGGGAGTGACACCGTCGGCGAGAGCTGTGCAGATGAAAGAATCGGAATGGAGTGAGAGCAACAAGAAGAATGATAAGATTGGAAGTGAAGATTTCAGAGCCTCCATTGCCGCAGCCAGTATGCGTTTCGGAATTGGTGTTAGCTGTCGGGTAGGGAAGGAAGGAAGGAAGAGTTGTACAGTTGCAGTAGTTAACTCTGTTACAATCGGGTTTTTTGGTGCTCTCGGAGCGCCGGTTTCGGGTCGGCAAAGCAAGTACTTGTCTAATTTAATTTGATATCTTCTTTTTTTTAATTCAATGGTAAAAATAAAGAAAGTGCAGATTTTCATAAATCAAACTTGGAAATAAAATAAAATAGAAGTTTTTAAGGAAAACTAATGAAAATGACTTGAAAACTTTATGTAACATCCCACATCGTCCAGGAGAGTGATCCTTAAATGTATATTCTCATCCCTACCTAGCACGAGGCCTTTTGAGAGCTCACTGGCTTCGGGTTCCGTAGGAACTCCGAAGCTAAGCGAGAAGGAGGTTAGAGCACTCCCAAGATGGGTGACCCACTAGAAAGTTGCTCGTGAGTTCCCAAAAACAAAACCGTGAGGGAATGATAAGCCCAAAGCGGACAACATCGTGCTACGGTGATGGAACGGGCCCAGGATGTGGTGGACCCCGGGCCGGGATGTGACACTTTGAGTTTTAACGATAAGGATAAAATAAATGGTAAAGTGAATAATAGCAAGATTGACTTTTTAGTGTAAAAATGTGGTTTTTCGTAAAAACAAATAGTACCAGAAGTTTTTCGTTAAAATTCTCAAGTTTTTATTGTATTGACATAAATTATAAGTTAGAATGTCATTAAATGGCTGTGACACACCCCAATCCGAGATGTTCACTAGGACTTCGAATAGAGTTATGATGGCTGACACCTAGAAGGTGACGAAGTCATAAAGTATAGTGATGTGGAAAATGTGAATAAATTTAAACCTAAAAGTACCTCAATACAAGAGTGCGCTGTGAGCGGGAATGAATCCAATTCACACGTGATAACAGAGCATAAGTACAATACAGTAAAATAGGGAAAGAATTATATCATCAATGGTAATCGTCTACACCAAGTTTTGCCAATAATCCTCGTCGGTACACAATCACTGCTACTAAACTTGGAAGGGAGAAAAACAATGGTGAGTGGGCTTGAAAATAAAGTTTTAATAAAACCCTTTGGAAAACGTTATAACCCCTTGTTGTAAAACCTATATAGTTTCCAAAATATCATACTATGTAGGTATGAAAACCAATGCACAAGAGCAGCGAGAACTGAAGTATGCCATGCCATAACATCTCAGCAATAATAAATATAAGTCAAGTGTGAAACCAATATAAAATAGTATGCTAGTCGAAGTCACCTAACATGACCTATACGACTGGACCTGTAGCTCATCAATCTAGGCTAACACAAGAGTCGGAGTCACCTGGTGTGACCTATACGACATCCTGGGTATAAATATGTATAATCAAATGTTACAATCACGTGAAGGCTGTGCGATAATTCGCGAGTCACCTACGAGTCAGAACCATCTATTATGGTCTGTACGACAGGCTATCACCAGACTTGAATCCAAATTGAGCGTACGGTGCGGGAGGTGAATAATCACGTGAAGGCTGGCCCTAGCCTTAGGTAGGAGCACTAATACTGGGGTGCAACCATGATGAGCTCTAAATAAATGTGTGCATACCAGTGCAATATAACCCATTCAATCACATAAACTCACCTGAAGATTACTAAGTCTCCGCAACATCACACAATACAATTCACAAGTGTAACAATGCAATATTTAAAATGTAACTTATTTACAACATGGCAAGCAAAGCATAGTTCCATATAAAAACGTTTCTGAAACTGTATATATATATATATATATATATATATATATATATATATATATATGTATAAACAAATGCCCACTCACCTAAGGTCCACGCTACAACTCCCTAGCGCGAATATCGAGGTGTCACGAATGATTGTCGCCTAGAATAAATATTCAGTCACGTCTCAGAATTCTTATCGATAGAACATATAACTTACATAAAACACATCCCCAAGGACGTTCTAGAATGATTTGAGACCTATTGACCAAAAGTCATCCGTCGATCAAAGATAGACGGTAAGGTCCACAACCCTACGTAACTCGATTCGGAAGATCTGCATCACAGATTTCCAATCCTTAGCTTCCAAAGATCCACATTATACTTCTAAAACATCATACCAAAGTTTCATTACGATCCAACGGTTGGATATCCGCCAATTGTAAATTTAAGTGGCGGTCAACGTTTTATTTTATGAACTTACAAATTCAATTCGGGAAGATCCGTAAGTCGGATTCCCGATCCATAAGTTCCAAATTCACTTCTTCTTACGCCTACGCGTCAGTATCGTCGAAGACTTCAGGAATACACTAAAAGAATATTTTGTACATCTCACTATACGTTGGTCAACGAAAGTCAATACCTTCGCCTCTAAAGGCATTTTCGTAAAATCACGCTTTTAAAATTTATAAAAACGTAAAATTAGGGACAGGTCATCACAGCTGTCTATGTATGAAAAATGAAATTAACAGGGTCATTTTAATATCAAATTAAAAAGGTGCACCTTAGCGCGGGCGGAAAGATGGTTCTATTATTGTCTATATAAAGAAGGGTAATGTTATAGAAATTAAATTTGGAGACTAAATTTGAAAACTAAATGATGTGTTATCAATAAGAATGAACATGTTTATCAACGCTTAAGTAATAAATCAACCATCAACTTCTATGTCCTTTAATTTTCAAAATTTGTCTATAAATTTAGTCTCTCTAGTATTATCCTATAAAAAATAATTATTTACTAAATTAGTAAAAATTAAAGGACTTGCTTCATAACATTTTTTTTTGTCAATAACATTAGTATTGTAAGTTTAGATAATCGATTCCTTTGATTACTATTTTATTTTTAATTTTAATTTTGTATAGTAGAGATTGAGAATGTATATTTGGGATCTGAAGAAAGGTGAGGAGAGGATGGTAAAGAAATTTGAAAGGATGTAATGACATGGCAAGATGAAAACGAAACATTAAAAACTGAATACACAAAAATTTACATGGGCGCATACAATAATAAATTAAATTAAGTGTTTATCAAACGATAGAATTTGGAACAAAGAGTCATATTTACACGCGCGTCATCCTCCCCCTTCAATGAGTGAGTGTAAATAACTTCCACATATAGACTTTTCATCTTTATATATAGAGCGAGAAGGCAAATTTAGTAAAATATTTATAATACCCAAAATACCCATTCCTTCTTACAACTTTTAAATAATTTAATTAAAACGGACAAACTAGTAACATAATAATAAATAAATAAACCCTACAACAAGTTACTAACCAATTTTTTTTGGAACAAATGATATTATATACACTAAAGAGTAACGGAGTGAGTTAAGTCTCACAATGAAGTAGTAATAATATGATTAAATTTGCCTTTAGAGAGAATCGAACTTCATTGTAATCAAGTTTGTTCTCTTCAAATAAAATTAAAATATCCAAAAAATAATAAAGATTAAGCTAAAACAAAAATAAAAAACAAATTGCCGCACACACTAGCGTGTTACAAGAGGCTTTTAAATGACTAAAATCATTTTTAGATTTAAAAAGCACTTAAAGTACTTTTTTTCAATATTAGCTTTGCATTACTACTAAAATTTGATTTCAAAAACATTTCCTTTAAAAGTGTTTTTTTTTTTTTTTTTTTTTTTTCCTGAAAATGCTTTTAGTCATCTCCCAAACAAGCCCGTAGTTTTCGAGACAAGCAATATATGATTTCAATTTCTCCCTTGCAAAACAATACATGAGCACCATGGTATCATGCCATGGCCTGCATTTGTCGTCGGCCGCATAAAGACAAGCTAGATACGAACAAAAAGCAATAAAAAAACATGCCCAGGCAAGCACATCATAGAGGAAGAGCTGGTTTGGTATTGTTGTGCCTTAAAAAAAAACTGTTTCTGTTGTGCTGTGAGAATAAGTTTATTTTTTCTACTTCACGTTTTCAGTTTTTTTTCACCCAATACTGTGAAAATAAGCTGTTTTTAAATGTTTACCAAACATATTTTTAAGCTCAGCTTTTTTTTATACCCACTTTTTATAAAAGCATCTCAGTACCAAACTAGTACTAAAACGGTTTTTTAAAAGCAATCGAGCATAAACACACGTAAATAAACTAGGGCACGATCCAATTCCAATATGAATTTCTCAATGAGCACCAAGAAGTCCGTGCCGTGCCATCCAGGGATTTAGTGATTCTCACTACATCACAAGTTTGTACAAATTCTCAAAATAAATCAAGCCTAGCTCGGAGTGAGTAGGCATGGAGTTAAAGACTAATTGTTACATAGAGCGGTAAGCACCGCCTTCCAACTTCATTGTCAAGACTGAGCTGTAAGAATTCCGCATAAGCAACTCAAGTGATCGAATCCTTAAAAAGCGAAGGGTCTCATCGGCACCAAGCAACTTCCACTCATCCCTGCAAATATATAACTAGTTATGAAAAGGAATTTACCAACTGCATTAAATCATTGATAAATCACATCAATCGTACAAAAAATGCTAGTATGAATCAGACTTTTGACCACTACGAAGAGCTAGTACAAAATCAGCTCTGAAATAAATAAAAGCAAGCACACCACTCACCATATTGAACATAACCCATACTTGAAGAAATCCACTTAGCATAGTATGGTTATTTAATGATAAATGAAGAATATGCATACAATAATGGCCCATACTTGAATTATACTCAGTTTTCCGGCTTGAATAATTAGCTCAAATCAATCGGGCCGAGATACACATCCAACTTCTGTAAGTTAGCCAAAAAATGCCCAGCCACTGCTATTATGCCTATCTAAGCGCAGATGCACATCAATTCAACCTAAATCAACTCCTTAAGAGATTTCTAATGTGGCCCCATATAACAATATGGCATATGAACTTCATAAATCACAGGAAAAGGAATGTGGCCACGTCCTATCCTACCAGGCAATTTTGACCCTCTGTGTGCAAGAACACCAAATCCCCCGGTAATTGTGCACTGATAGCATATATTTATCATCCATGGTCCATGGAAACGCGTGGGTAGTAAGTGCTATATATGTGTGCTTGACCCAACAGGGCCAAAACCTATACCCCCAGAGTCAGATAAAGCGCAGGTACTCATTTTAGCTCTTGTCAGAGAGATCTGTAGCTGAAGTATGAAAGGAGGTGCATATTCTTATAAAAAATGAAAACAGATACTAAAACCAAGTAGCCGTAGGTTAAACCAAGACCATTAGCAATTTCCATGTTTTTTACTTCATATAAGGATATATGTTACTAGACAGACTTTTAAAAGCATTGTAACAAATTTCCAAAAGAAAATACTAGACCTCATGAACAGATGCAAAACCTTAACACATCTAACGTTAACAAGTAACTCGAACCTGCTGCTTTTTCTTCTTTGGCCTCCTCTTTCTACGGGGTTTATGAGCATCAGAGTTGGAGCTCAAATTACTACTTTGACCTGCAGTTGAATTAGAGGATACCCTAGCTTTGAACGAAGTTCCACTTCTGCCACTTGATGTATTGATGGAAGTTCCACTTCTGCTATTTGATGTAGCGCTTGATGTGGCCATTTCACTGATGCTTTTTGAGGAATTTTTGCTTGATGAAGGACCAAACCTTGACTGAGCACGAACAGAACTTGGGTGAGAATTGCTGGATGGCCGGGGAGGAGGCATCAAAGCTCTAGCAGAAATCTGTCGCTATTTAAGAAATTCAGGTGAGGCGACAGAAATATAAACAATCAATAAGTACATATACTTAATCACAGCAGTACAATAGTCAACAGATGGGAAACCTGATTTCTCTCATCACTGGACATGCCAGAAGTTGCTTTTCCTGAAGCACTGGACACCTGTTCCCTGCAAAACAGATAGCGAATTTCGATGCAACTTCCATCAAAATGGACCATATTTTTAATAAATAGGCAAAGTACATGAAAACAAAACAACAGATTATACACTAATTCATATAGGTTCTGTTAACTTTCAGCTTCGCCAAGTAATATACAGCCAGTGGGATTGTGTTAAGAGAAAGTGATAATGATCGAAATCCTCAACAGTAGCCTAATCAAATATAAGCTTTCTATTCAACAGAGTATGTATCAGAGCCTAACCCTAACCCTGGCCGTGGTATGCCGACGAGGACGTCGGGCCCCTAAGGGGGATTGTAACATCCTACATCGCCCAGAGGAGTGATCCTTAAATGTATATTCCCATCCTTACCTCCTTACCTGGCACGAGGCCTTTTGGGAGCTCCCTAGCTTCGGGTTCCATCGGAACTCCGAAGTTAAGCGAGTAGCGCCCGAGAGCAATCCCATGATGGGTGACCCACTAGGAAGTTGCTCGTGAGTTCCCAAAAACAAAACCGTGAGGGAATGGTAAGCTCAAAGCGGACAATATCGTGCTACGGTGGTGGAGCGGGCCGGGAAGTGGTCCGCCCTAGGCCGGGATGTGGCAGTATGTCCACTTTTTTTTATAAATCTGTTTTTTTTTTTTTTTTGATAAACGAGAACTTACACTAACCAATCAATGAGGGAATATCAACACAGTCCATTACAACAAATCAAACATATAACCCTATCTCAAAGTCAAAACAAAAAGTTCTCAAGAACAAATTATGACATCTCACTCTCAATTTTAATTATTAGTGTAAGAAACAATTTTACTACTAAAAAAAACAATAAACTACGAACAGAAAAGTTGTAAAATACTTTGTACTCTTATCTGTCCATTCATCGTCTGCATCTGCTTCATCACTAGAACTCCCATTTAGGAAGAAATCATCTTCGCTCATATCCACAAGCCCATCGTCCTCACTCCCTGTTTCTGTAGGAAGTCCAAGAATAGACAGCATTCATATCAGTGTAATAAAATAGTTCAATAATTTGTAACCCTCAGATCATGTTCATAATTGATAAGTAAAAGAAGAAAAGGAAGGTAAAACAAGCCTCCTGGAGAGAAAACATAAAGCATCTAGCTTGGCAGGAATGCGGAAAGAATAATTTGGTAGGTGTTTTTGTTTGATAGGTTATCTTGCAGCCATTCTTACCTGTACGGTTAATTTCATCTGAAGACTAGACGTTTTGCTAGGTATTTATAAAAGAAATACCTTCCAAATCCTTTCCGCTAGCTGCTGCAGCAACTATATTGGCCTTAATCTGCTTTCGCAACCTATTTCTCGTATCAATCACACCTGTATCTTCACCTCCAGTAAATAGAGAGACGTACTTTTCAGTCTTGGGAAAGAACTGGTGGTCAAAAAAATATCAGCCTTTCAGTTCAACATTATTGGAAACAAGTACCATGTTATTTCAAGAAACAATTTAAAGTCTGTAACAAGTAAAGTGAAAAACATTCGGCTCTTCTCTAGTAAGGCAAGTCAAGTAGAAATTCACATTTCAAGTCCAATATCAGCTTAAGATACTCTCATGACAGAGAAAAAAAAACCAAATTCCCAATTACAAATGCCATATCCCCGCATCCACATAAAAGGAAATAGACCAAGGACGATTACATAACTTACCCTAACATATTCAAGATCTTCTTTCAATTTCGAAAGGTTCACAGAAACCTCTGCGTCTTGTGCCTGACCCGATGAAGCACGTTGGAGTTTCTCCAGGCGTCTTATTCTTCTCTCTATCTTTCTTCTCTCTACAAAAAGCGCATGCTATTTTCACCATTCGAGTAAACACAAACCACTGATGCAATTAAGCAGCACATCATACACGAATTCACCTATAAAATAACTAAAGTAACAAACAAAATCAGTTCATCCGTACCAAAAAACTTTATCTTCCTGTCACGCATAAATATTTTGCGTTCCACAGCGAGACGGGAGTGAATCTCCTGTTGTTTCTTGAATCCTTCCAACTTCTTTTCCTGAGCCTCCCTAACTTCAGCTGGTAGATTCTTAGAACAATAATCGTCGTGTTAGGCCACACTTCACAATGATTATCACTTCATCAATAGCTAAAACCAGAAAGATCGACAGAATATTAATCCAAGCGGTATTGGGTCAGAAATTTTCCAATTACTTCAAATTCCTATGAAATTCAGAATACTGTATACAGTTTCCTCTCTCTCTCTCTCTCTCTCTCTCTCTCTCTCTCTCTCTCTACACGCAACAGGGCTAGCAAAGAACTCAAGGTGACTGAAACCCCCAAACCACACAAACCCTCACCCTAAAATCGACCCCAACTGAAGCAAAATCGAAATGGAATAACGGAAAACTGAAAGTGGTGGAGATTGGGAAGAAAGATTTAGGGAGTACCTTACGGAGCATGCGCTCGATGGAGCGAATCTGGTTTTTGAGGGTGACGGACTTGGGCTTCTTCTCCGGGCCCAAGGCCGACTTGGACCGATGTCCGGCGGGGTTCACCCGCCGCTTGCTGTGGCCACCGTGAGCCATGGCGTTGCCCCTCCAAATTATCGCTGCGAGGGCTTATAAGACACACGGACAGTAGACAGCGAGCAGCAATTTGTTTTGTTTAAGAGTTTTTCTCCTTATTTAAAAAAATGAAAAAATATACAAAAGTTTTCCACACGTCGTTTGACCTAATTCCGTTACAAATTGGTTTTTTTATTTATTTATTTTTTATTTTTTATCTAAAATAGTTTTTGAGATTGACATAATTTCACTTTGATCTCTAAGATTTAAAAGTGGTAGAACTAGTCCTGAGTTTATCCACTCTCAATTATTTTTGTCATTCCGTGAAAAATCTTTATTAAATAAGGACTAAAACTACAAAAATACCCGCAATTTAATACACAATAGGTCAAAATAATTGAGAAATACCTCAAAATAGGACAATTTCTTAATCTTGGGACATAAATAGGACAAACCGGCGATGCACAAGCCATGCACACCATGCCAAAACCGAAATTACTAAAATGCCTACATATAAATACTACATATCCTTAGCTCATTTCATCAATGTCCTCATTTGCTGGAGAGGGATGTCGAGTGAGCTTTCTAGATTAAGCTCAGATCTCTGAGTTTTGATTTCCAATAGAGGGAAGTTAAGAGGGAAGTTAAGAGTGAAGCTTCGAAGTGAGGGTTTCTTGTTTGCATCAATGTTTCATCCTTAAAGATATGGTTTTTATACCAAATTTTGCATTTTGGCCGGAAAGTTCCATTATTTCCAACTAGTGAAGCTTTGGCAACCATATTTCCACTGTCATCGGGTTCGTCTGTCTCTCTCTCATCTCTTTCTCTTTCTAACTTGGTCATTGTCTCCATTTCTGCAACTAATTACTTGTTTGTTCAATTAGGTTTTTTGGATTTGCAGATATGGGAAGTCGAACAAAAGAGGGATGGGGAAGAGAGGGCTCGAAATGTGTTCTGGAAATCTTTATTTGTTTATGGGTTTTGTTATTTTAGATTTCTGGGTTTCAATCTTAGAGTTTTTGCGGTTTAATTGATGCTCAATATTTGTTAATTTTGTTATGAACTTGCAAATGTTTGTGAATTTGATCTCGAATTGGTGTTTGTTTGAATTAGAAGTCTTAGCACAATATGTACGAAATTGTACACGGAATGCACAATTATCTTACTTAAGGCATTTGCGTTGGCACAATTATCTTACTAGAGGCAATCTCTTTTGTGTACAGGTTGGATGAAGAAAGTAAGAAAAGGGAATGTCAACAATAAAGTTGTGGGATCTTGGTGGTTAACCCAAGTTTCTAATCATGCAGGAAAGATATTGCCTTGCAGTTTCCTCTATTGTGTATGACAGTTTGTAGGCATATGATTTGACTTTTTTTTTTGTTTCCCAACTATGACAGTAAACATTGTAGTTATTGATGGTGAGATACTAGAATTGTTAGTCTTTTGTTTACATATGCAGTGATACAATTGTCAATCTTCCATAAGATGTTGTATCTTCCGAAACCAACTTTGCGTTATGTTGAATTTGTCTTTTTTTCACGTTGTAGTTATGTTGTGGTTGCTGTTGATTGTGATAACTTGCGAGTCTGAAAAAGAGAACTTGATGACCTCTTAAGTAAGGCATCGCTAAATGGTATTCCGTTGTTGGTACTACGTAACGAGATTGACAAAAAAGGAAGCTCCGTCTAAAGAGGGTTTGTCATAAGAAATGTAAGTGAACATTTTCATACTTTGTAAGGAATACAGTTGCCCATTGTGATGGTTTACTTTGAAAAGATCGATGTTTGTGTTATTTATTACATATGATTGTGTTTGTTTTACATATGAATTGTGTTAGTTTTACATACGAATCGTGTGTTAACCAACGTATATTGCTGTCCAGGGATCTAAAATCCATCACCGATAGGGAAGTTTGTTGGTTCATGATATCCTCTAAGAACTCCATAAACATTGACAGTCATTGACTATCTTGTTAAGGATTTGAAGTCAAATATTTGAGTTTTTTCTTGTTGGGACTGATGATATTACATTTCTGAGAGTGGATTTCAACAAATTTATTGAAGTGGTTGTTGTTTGCTCAGTTGGGTTTGTCGATATCCAACCATCCATCATTGTCTTTTGTTATGTGGTTGAGACAGACATATTTGGTTTGTTGCAGTAGCCTTATGTGAATATTTTGGTTTACACGTATACACTTTGACTTTGTGAATTGTAAAGTACACACTACTGTCATTTCATATGATATGATTATTTTGGTTAACGAATTTGACATTGTGAGTTGTGTAATGTGCAAATTGCAATCTTTTGGATATATGTGATCCTTGTGAATTATGTTGTAATTGAATCCACTATACGAATAGCATGGCGTAAATGGTGTCTTATAAATGGTAGAATCAACTTGCTGCCCAATCTCCAGTTTATGCATAATATATGCATATAGTGTATATTTTATGTTCTTGTCATGTGCATATATTATATATTTTATGTGCTTGACATGTGCATATCCTTTGCATGATGTATGCACAGTGATATAGTGTTTATGTCATCTACGTCGTACGTATAATGTATATAGTGCGTATTTTCATATTTCATACTCTTCACATTAAGGTACTTTAGGACATGGAACGCAGCTCAAATAACAAACACACGGAGTCCTTATTGTTTATTATCGTATAATAGTTAGCAATACATTCCACAATACTATTATCACCATTTAATAGTTAGCAAAACGAGGTTGTACCACAGTTTTAACTCGACATTAAAACCCTCAGTTTCATGTCTCCACTTGGACATTAGGTGTTGTGAATTGTTTTCGCTATCTGAGAAGTGGAATACCTTTTCAGTATGATGTGGATCAAAAGCTGTAGGAATTCGTAGCAATGCTTTTTTATCCCAACTTCAATGTTGCTTCCAATATGTGAGAAGAAAAAAAATCTTCCCCTTCTTTACCTTATATACAAGGTAACATATCACTAAGTACCCAAACAAAACCCATTACCTTTATAATATATTATTATTATTGAGGGACCTTTGTAAGTTTCCCTCTCTTTGTACATGGTTTTTTGGTTTTGGAGGGAACCCAAGTTGACAATAAAGGTGAGGTGGTTAAGATAATCCCTAGGCCCCATATCTCATTGTTATATTGTGCATATGATGTGCTTGTCTGTATTTTAATATCACAATCACGATTGTTACTAGTTCTGATGCACCTATGTTATGTGTAATTTTAGGTTTGTGGAACAAAACATGGGGGAAGGACATGTAATGATTTGTCATAATGGGAGGTGTGTTGCATCCGATAAGGAAAAGAATTACGTAGGCGGTGAAGAGAAAGGAGTTGTGTCTAAATCTATAAAATTGATGGAGTTTTTGGAGATTGTTTTGAAGATCATGTGTTGTGGTGTTGACATGATTACTCTTGCCTACTCAATTCCAATGGGGGCCATGCTAACAAACTTGTGTTCATTGGGGACTAAAGTGATATGTGATATTTTTTTTTTGTGTATAGCTTGGTAGTTATTGGTACGAGGGTGACACCTATATATGTATCCATGCTCCACATCTCGGATAATATGAACCCACATCCCACTAAGGTCACACTATGGTCAAATGCAATGTTTGAAGTAACGACCACTTTAACTGGCAAACAAAGGGTTTTGGGTACTATGGAGGTGCCTTTTGAATATGGCAATGACATAGATTGGGTTACCATGGTGGACTTTGAATCGTGGCAGTATGAATTTGATTCAATTGTCGTGACCACTTTTACAACTCAAAATGTGATGTCTATGGCTAACAGTAATGAGGTACAACCAAATAGAGGTGTAAGAGTAGAAAACCGGAAGGGCAAGAGAAGTACGGTTGCAGAAGACACGAATGAATCTACCATCAATTCTTATGCTTACGTGAAAAGCCTAAGCTATGGTGTTGAGGGAAATTTGGATTGGCAGCCGTATTTGAATAAGGGGTGACCTTTTTGTTGACAAGTAAGATCTGTCTAGAAAGCTTTGATTGAAGCAATTAAAGGGAATTTTCAGTAAAAGGTTGATACATTTTCGAAGGGGCGTCTCATTGTCATGTGTAAGGATACCCGATGTCTATGGCAAATTTTTGCATACCAAAATGGTAGTGAGAAGTTTTGAATTGCCAAAGATGAAGTCTCTCACCGGTGTGATTTGGCTTTGTTGAAAGATTGTTACCCACAAGTCAACACGTGGCTTATTGGTCACATGATAAGGGAAAAGTTCAATGATCCAATTACAGTGTACAGCATCAAAGATATTGTGCGCGATATTAAAACCACTCTCAGGGTTACCGTTAGCTATGAGTCAGCATCTCGGGCTAGAGGACTGGTATTGGCATCGAGATGTGATTCACTTGAAGACTCATATGCCAAACTTTCTACTTATTGTGTCAAATTTGAAAGGGTAAATCTAGGCAGCAAGACATCCATTTTAACTGATGGAGACCATCATTTTCGATACTTCTTATTCACAATCGGTGCATCAGTTAGGGGTTTCTTGTCATGGATGCGGCCAATTATTGTAGTTGATAGATCTTACTTGAAGTCAAAGTACAAAGGTGTCCTCTTAGTCGCGATAGTGTTCGACTGCAACCGTAACATTTACCATTTGGCTTTCAGCATAAGTGACACAAAAAACGAAAATTGCTGGGAGTTGTTTTTCAAGCAACTCTATAGAGTGATTGGGGATGTACTGAATTTGGTTATAATTTCGGACCGCAACACAAGCATTGTAAACGTGGTCAATAAGGTTTTCAAAAAAGCTCAACATGATTTATGCATGTATCACTTGAAAGGGAATATTAAGGCTTTATGCATGCATCACTTGAAAGGGAATATTAAGGCCAAGTTTCACCTAAAAAAGAAGGACAACTTTTTCTACCACTAACAAGGCAGCTAAATCCTATTATCGTGCCGAGTTCGACACAAACTTCGTCAAGGTGAGAGACTTGGTAGCAAAGTACCTAAATGATGTGGGTGTAGAGAAGTGGTTACGGGCTCAAATGAATGGGAAGAGGTACAACGTAATGACCACTAACATTGCCAAGAGCATTAATGTGATGTTGCACTTTGC